ATAAGCTAACAATGAAATTGAATTGAAACTAAAACAAAACAGACCTATAATATTTGAATATTTAGAGTCAGGTAGTCCAATAATAATTATTATTTTTATTTTGTAGCAATTTCTCACTCTAAATCTGACATCTTGTAGAATTTTGACAAATATTAGAGTTAATTTTAAAAGATATAATGTATAACATTATATATTTTGTGATAACTTCTCTCTGTTGACCATAGAATTTGTAGGATGTTTGACAAATACTCCCTCCGTCCACGGATAAAGTAAACATTTATTTTTGGTGCGGTGTTTAAGAAATAATAGTATTTTAATTATAGTTGGTAGTTAAAAATAGTGTAATGATATTTTTGCCCTTACTTTTGGTATAAAAGTAATGATATAATGTAAAGTAAGGGTATTTGTAAAAAAAAAAACGAGATATTTAATGAAATATTTAATTTGTAATTGGACGTTTCAAAATAGAAATGTGTATATTTTCTAGCTGGAAAGAAGTATTATAGTTAGTTCTAGAATAATTATATATATAGTGTGCATAACATCGTATATTTTGTGGAGAGAAAAGTTTTCCAAACTACATATTTTGTAGAATATTGACAAATATTAGAGTTAGTTTAAGAAAATATAACATGTATAACATTACATATTTTTGTGGAAATTTCTCTCTGCAAGCGAGACATTTTCGTAGGATGTTGACAAATATTATAGTTAGTTTTACAAAATATAGCACCTATAATATTATATATTTTGTGGGAACTTCTCTCTGCAGACCAGATATGTAGTACAATGTTAAACAAATATTAAAGTTAGTTTCAGAAATATAGTGTATATAATATTATATATTTTGTGGCAACTTCTCTCTGCAGACCAGACATGCTGTAAAATGTTGACAAATATTAGAGTTAGTTTCAGAAAATATAGCATGCATAACATCATATAGTTTCTGGCAACTTGTCTCTGTAGGCCAAAGATATTGTAGGATATTGAAAAATATTAGAGTTAAGTTTAGAAAATATAGCATGTATAACATCATATATTTTGTGGCAACTTCTTGCCGTAGACCAAATATTTTGTAGGATTTTGACAAATATTAGAGTTAGTTTAGCATGTATAATATTATATATTGACAAATATTAGAGTTAGTTTCAGAAAATATAGCATGTATAACATCATATATTTTGTGGCAACTTCTCTCAACAGATCACACATGTTATAGGATGTTGACAAATATTATAGTTAATTTTTTTAAAAAAATAGCTATGTATAACATCATATATTTTGTGGCAATTTCGGCCAGACATTTTATAGAATGTTGACAAATATTAGAATTAGTTTCATAAAATATAGCACTGTAATATCGTATATTTTGTAGCAATTTTTCTCTACAAACCGGACATGATGTAGAATGTTGACAAATATTAGAATTAGTTTCATAAAATATAGCACTATAATATTGTATATTTTATAGCAATTTTTCTCTGCAAATCGGACATGTTGTAGAATGTTGGCAAATATTAGAGTTATTTCAGAAAATATACTATGTATAACATCATATATTTTGTGGTAATTTCTCTCTGCAGACCAGACATGTTGTAGAATGTTGACAAATATTAGAGTTAGTTTCAAAAAATATACCAGGTATAACATCATATATTTTGTGGTAATTTTTCTCAATTTTTCTCTGCAAGCTAGACATTTTGTAGGATTTTGACAACTATTATAGTTAATTTTAAAAAAATATAAAATATAACATTATATATTTTGTGACAACTTCTCTCTGCAAAATAGAGATTTTGTAGGATGTTGAAAAATATTAGAGTTAGTTTCAGAAAATATAGCATGTATAACATCATATATTTTGTGGTAATTTTTCTCTGCAAGCTAGATATTTTGTAGGATATTGACAAATATTAGAATTAGTTTCAGAAAATATACTAAGTATAACATCATATATTTTGTTGTAATTTCTCTCTGCAGACCAGACATGTTGTAGAATGTTGACAAATATTAGAGTTAGTTTCAGAAAATATACCACATATAACATCATATATTTTGTGGTAATTTCTCTCTGCAGACCAGACATATTGTAGGATGTTGATAAATATATCAGAGTTAGTTTCAGAAAATATAACATTTATAATATAATATATTTTGTGGTAACTTCACTTTGCAGACGAAACGTTTTTAGAATGTTCAAATATTAGAGTTAATTTTAAAAAATATAGCATATATGATAACGGTATATTTTTGTGGCAACTTTTCTCTGTATGTAAGATATTTTGTAGGATGTTTGACAAATATTTGAGTTAGTTTCATAAAATATAACATGCATAACATTATATATTATTTTGTGGCAATTTTTTTATGCAAACGAGACATTTTGTAGGATTTTGACAAATATTAGAGTTAATTTAAAAAAATATAATATATAACATCATATATTTTGTGATAACTTTTCTCTGCAAAATAGAGATTTTGTAGGATGTTGAAAAATATTAGAGTTAGTTTTAGAAAATATAGCATATATAACATCATATATTTTGCGGTAATTTTTCTTTGCAAACTAGACATTTTGTAGAATTTTGACAAATATTAGAGTTAATTTAAAAAATATAAAATATAATATTATATATTTTGTGACAACTTCTCTTTGCAAAATAGAAATTTTGTAGGATGTTGAAAAATATTAGACTTAGTTTCAGAAAATATAGCATATATAACATCATATATTTTGTGATAATTTTTCTCTGCAACCTAAACATTTTGTAGGATATTGACAAATATTAAAGTTAATTTCAGAAAATATAACATATATAAAATTTTATATTTTGTCATCAACTTTTTATACAGACTAGACATGTTGTAGGATGTTAAACAAATATTAGAGTTAGTTTTAAAAAATATAGGATATATAACATGATATATTTTGTATCAATTAAGATGTTAACAAATATTAGAGTTTGTTTAAAATAATACAGTATGTATAACATTATATACTGTGTGACAACTTCTCTTTTCAGACCAGACAGGAAGACATGTTGTAAGATGTTGACAAATATTAGAGTTAATTTCAGAAAATATAGCATTGTAACATTATGGTAATATCTCTCTCCAAACATGTCGTAGGATGTTGACAAATATCTGAATTAATTTTTTTAGATTTAATTTGAGAAAAATTGATTTACCTTTTATATTTAAATAATTTTCAAGAAAAAATATATATAAATTTGAAAAACATATATAATCATTTTGATTAGTCTTTTGATATATTTTTTTATAATTTTTATTATTTGAATTTTATATAATTTTTTAATAAACATTAATTTTTTTTTTTACAAAATATTAATAAATATTATTTAATAAAGAATTAAATTTCCAAATTAACTATAGACAAAAATAAAAAAAAAATATTTGAAAGTTTGGATTTGAATTTAAATTTAAATTAATATAAATACATATTAATGCAATATTTGAAATATAAAATTAATTTTTAATATAATATAAAAATAAAAACAACCACTAACATATTTTATTCTTACGTGAGGCCATACAAAAATTGTTCCCAACGGTTTGATTCTAGAGTTCTTATACATGAGTTCTAATAAGAAATGAATACAGGGCCGGCCCTAGTTCGGACAAAAGAAATTCTCGACTAAGGTCTGTTGTAAATTGAGGCTCATTTTATTTATTTTTATAATAATATATATATATACACACGCGTATTGATATATAATTTTTATAAATATAACTTATTCATAATTAAAATAAGAAATTCATGTTATAATTTATGTAATAATTAAATATATATTATTTATGAAATTCATTTTTTAATATTAATGGTTAAAATTATTAATTTTCATAGTATTAATTATGATGAAAGAAAAGTACAATGTATGTCACTCTTTTTAATTTGTAATTACTTAATTTGCTTTCTTTTTTTTTTTTTTTTTCACCCTACTTTATAACACAATCAATTTATTTTTTCTCATTTATTTTGAGATTTTGTAATTTGATTCTAAAATTTCATATTTAAAATTTATAAATCACAATAATATGTTGTTAGTCTTTGTCGATAGCTTTGTGCTGGATTACTGTCAGCCCGCTGCAATAGAGCTTTTATTTTTATTTGACTCGGGACCCGGCGAAAGTCGGAACAAGCCCAAAATGAACATATTATTCGTACCAGTATTATTCATCGAGTCATTTAGCAAACGAACAAGTTTTTGTAATGAGTTCAAATAAATCCGACAGTTACCAAATTTAATAAACAATTTGCTTGATTTATTACTATGCTTTATCTTTCTGTAATCTAGTAAATAAAGGTTATTATTATTATTATTATTATTTAACATAGAAATAAATGTCTTGTTCATAAAAATTGGTGTTGTTTACTAAGCCGGGAAAAAGAAAATTGTAGATGATCCTGCAGAGTTTAAATTTACATAATCCTAAATGTATATTATTATGTATCAATAATATTTTTCACAAGAAAAAAAAATTATAGTGCCACTTGTGAGATGCACAGAAAACCAGCAAAGTAAAGAGGGGGTTGCATTCAACACGTTATACAACTGTGTCTGCCACGTTTACAGTTACTTTATTTATTGCTGCAATTTTACCGATGCATCCATATCAATAAATTATTACTGGGAATTTTATATACATTTTTTGCATGTCAAGTGTGCCCTAGATTGTTGAAGTAAATAAAAAGATATTTTACGTGTAATTATTCTGCACATACTTATAGCCTTGTCGGAATATTTATGAATTCGTGTCTTCTGCCCACAGTATCGATAAAGAAGGGTAGACTGGTATTGTTAGTACTAAATGAATACGCGTGGTCCTGCTGACTATGCTTGACTTTTCCACTCTTCTTTTCAATACATTTTTTTTTTTTTTTTCTCATTTACAAAATATTAAATTAAATATAACTCAAACCACTCGATTAAAATCAACAAGATGAATGGAGGTATCTCAAGACAAAATCAGTAGACACATCAATGAGAAAATCAGTAGATTGTTAATTAGATTCAAGGGTTCCCTAGGCCAATAAACTGAGGAATGAAATGGCCCTAAAATACTAATGATACAAGAGACCATTTTGGAAATGGCTTCACGATATTCTTTTTGGAATGATACACTGATGAAAGAACATGGCATCATACAAAATCCAGGATCTTTTTTGTCAATATATGTATGGGAATATCCTCCAAGGAACCAATTTCCTGTATTCTGCCCATACTTCTTTATACTTCTGTGCACACCGGGCTTCGTCTCTTCTCTCTCTCCATATTAGAAGTATGAAAAGGTATATAGGATAGAAATATGGAAGTGGGGAGCTGCAGGAGATGTGCTAGAAATTAAAATGCAGTTACTGTTATGTTTTTTCATTGAGCATAAGAATATTAGTGCAGAATGTTACCTTATCCCACATGGTAAACTGAATGACAGAGCTAGCAACAAGTCTCCAAGATAGTTACAGTGCCTGGCAATGCCCCTGAAAATGAAATGAAAAAAAAAAAAAAAATGTAGAATTAATGGATTTGAAGGCGCCATTTAGCCAGAGACGTTTTAATTGTGGAGATCTAACTAACTATTGCATCTATTTATTAGGTAGAAAACATGAATACACATGCATAATGTTTTTGGGAAAATATAATGCTGCAGGAAAAAAGTAACTGAAGACCTCCCAAGGTAACGTCATATTTTCATATCATAAAGGATCTAATGTACATAATGAACTTACCAATAACCAGAAGCAAGCAACTTTTGCCCAATGACTTTTGGGGGCTTACCCCAAATGGGTGCTTTGGGATTCTTCTTGAAATCATGCTTCTGCTTGTTGGCACCTCTAAAGACACAATAGCTTCAAAATCATCAAAGGAAGAAGAAAATTGTGAGTTAATCACCCAAGTGATTTGAAACAATCTTATTCTGTGGACTAGGAAATAGGAATGGAATACCATTTACAACTGTTCTAACAATGGCGACATCTGAAATGAGAATATTACCCAAACAGGAAGACAAGGCAGTTTGCAACAATAGCTGCACTAGTTAAGTCCACTTCATTATATAGAAGCCACCAGCCCTTTCAAACACAGAAAAATAACTAAAAATAAATACATAGAAGTTGGCTGTAAAGTGTAAACTAGTACAATTTATAGCATCATCCTAATGAAATTTTTAACTGAAGCTAAATTTAGTGTGGCTGGGTTGTGTTTTTGTCCGGAGGTTTTTCTAAAAACTTCTATTATTTACAATTTTTTTCCCCAAACCACATCAAATCATACTCTTATTTTTTATTATTATACTAAAAATCAATTTTATACTTAAAACATATATCAAATCCTATTTATATCACATCAATCAACTATTCAAATTAAAGATTTTTACTATTCAAAACCTGGAACTAAATTAGAAAAAATAGAAAATAAAACCTGGAACTAAAAGCATTCATCATATGATCTAATATTGTCTAAGTGTAAATGGAGTAGGAACTGGGGCATACCGTATCATAAGTTAGATTGTCCAACATCTAGTAGTTTCATACAGCAAAAACTTGTAGCATACCTGGATACTGAATGTGAATGGAATCCAGACCAAATCTCCAAACACAAGCATGAATCCCAATCTCTCAGCAATTATATCCCATCTGAGAAGATGCCCCATCTACTGAAGTTTAGAGTTACAAACTTGTGGCAAAGTAATTCAATTGCTCAACAAATAAGAAGCTCTTAAGCCATATCCAAACAAAAGGCATATGGCAAGAAATAATAATGCTGACACATTTGAGCAGAAAGAGTCTGCACTAGTGATGAAAGAAGGGTTTTACTTACGTGGAGGTCATGTACTCCTCATAGAAGAAGTAGTCCAGAATGTAAAGCTGCATTAACGAAGAAAAAACTAAAAAATTAGTTATCTTCTTTTGTAGATTTTTTATTTTTAATATACTACTAAAAATCAATTTTACATTAAAAATATATAGCATTGCATCAACAACTATTTAAATTAAAAATTTTACTATTCAAAAACCCAAACCCTAAAAAAAACACATCCTTTTGGCTTCCATAACAAAAGAAAAAAGCTAGGCATTATCAACTTACGAGACAAAACACTTCATAGAGAATAAGTGATGTGCTAGTGTTTGATTCCTTAATGGACTTTGCGAGAACAGAAAGATTTATAAGAAGCCATCCCATCATGCCAGCTCGAACAAAAAAGAACCTAAAGGAGAGCAGATTAACAGTAAGAAATGCGATGCTGTAAAAATGTGTTGATTTTGCTACTTGTCCATTTCTTTATATATATATATATATATATATAGCAAGTAGTAAATTATAATATATGGCCAAAACAAGATGATTTTAAAGTATCATTTAGCAAATCTAAACTGTTATAATGTCAATAGCCTGGTGCATACTTGAGGTCAATTCCCATGAATTGAGGATTCAACTGTATCCCAAACCACCTGTCAAAACAAAAGGAGTATACACAGCAGTATTAATACAGAGGGTTTGTGGCTGGACGAATCTGCAAAAGTTGGTTATACAACTTGGATTATAAAAAAACATTAAAATGATCTCTGGTCCATGCAAGACTTAAAGTTAATATGTACATTGCCATTTTCCAAGTTCTTTTTATGCTCATTTGTTTAAGCAGTATATGATCTACAGTTCTATAATGTTACATTTCTCAATCACAGGACCATTACAATAAAGTTAGGCAGAGAGTGGAAGAAAATTACACCATTGTTCTAAATTGGAGAAATGAAATATGTAAAGCTTTATGCTTATTAAATTAATTTTTTGGATTAGGATGTCCATTGGAATGATTCCAAGTCTTTATTTTGTCAAGCATAGAAAACATACATGCAATTTGCACATCCTGAGATGAAATCTAGAGCTACAGGCATACCAGTCATGGAGTAAGTTCCCGCTAATGTGAGGCTTCAAAGACGAGCTTTGATGATGAGATCCACAACCAGATATGTAAAGTAGCAATGTTACCTGGAATAGGCCAAAACATTTGAGAACGATGAAATATCTACAATGCTATGACTGTACTTGATTTTGTGTCGATTAAGTACTGAATGAAACCTAAAAATGTAGAAGCTGAAACTTACGAGTACACTGAATATAAATGTTGTCGATAGAAGCTCAAGACCTCTGTCAGCAATAGCCTACAATATGAATCAACAAAACACGTTTGCCCATGTGCGCCATAGCTTTCATTAAACATACACCACCAACTCTTTCCAATAAGAGTACCATATGAAATAATGAGTGATTTCAGTTCTCACCGCGGGAGATAGAAGATCCATCCAACTGCTGATTCCCAGCACGGAAACCAGTAATAGCAGCGCAAGTAATCCTAGATTCATCAGGAGAATATATATATATATAGATAAATTGAAAAAACAAATCCAAAATGCATTCTCTCTCTAGCAAACGAAAGGCAGGACAAAATCAGATTTCTAACCATTGCAGCGGTAATGGAGGCGAGAGCCATCTGATAGTGGCACTCCGGGAACGATTCTACCCGGTAAAATGGAACCAGCTATTGCCAAGTAGGTGAAAAATGCGAGTAGCATAACAGCCTAGTGGAAAATTTAACAGGATAACAAACCAGCATCGATCATTAGGTCAATACACAGAAAAATCTACAATCCATGAAACGAGTGACCAAGCAGACTGACCGAAGTCCATGAAGGAGTGAGAGCAGACAGCACAACGTCGAGATCCATGGATTCCTTCCTATTGATGGTAACTGATGACGAATTATATATTCATGTATATATTATTTGAAAATAATATTTCTAGACTCACTTTTTAGGTTAGGCAGTTAGACCGAGTCCACGATCCAAATTTGGGCCGGAGGCCTACATACGGTTGGGCCTGCAAACATGCACCACTATATATTCAATTCACAAGGTTCCTTAAACCCTAAAAACCCACCTTTTCCTCTCCCGCCACTCTCGCCTGCACTCCTCTGAGCTTCTCTGGGATTCTTCAGCTATGGAGTTTTGGGGTGAGTTCTTTTGTTGCTCATTTCTCTATTCAATCTTTCCGAATTCTGGGTGATCGCAGCTTATTTATTTATTGGCTACATTTTTTGTACGTGTGCTTATTGTTCTCTATTATTCGGAAATTGCGTTGTGTTTTTTTTTTTTTTTTTATCTGCCCTCACTTTATGTTTTATTCATTTACGTTTGCGTTTGTATTTCTGTGTCAATCGGATGGTTTGGTAGTTGAATGTAAATGGTTACATTACAGCGTAGATTTTTTTTCTGATATGTTAGTTCTGTGTTCGTATTTAAGCATGTCTTCTGTGCTGATTAGTGGCCATGTAACGCGCGAGATCGTGGCATCTGTTTTCTGATAGAGTCGGTTTGCGTTAGGGACTGCATATTAGACTAGCACTTTTGACATTACTTATATTTTCGCACTTCGCTATGCTGTGATGCCAGCGCTGGTATTACGGTGAGGTGACGGATAACATTTTAGATGCAGTCATCCTATTTTACTGCTGTGGTTGATTGTGGGGAGTGATTTCGAAACAGAATCACTAACGAATTGCAGTATAAATTTTAAGTGTCATTTCCGATCATGAACTGATTGCTATATAAAAAGCATGCTAGGGTATGATTGTATTGGATTTCTGTTTCAATTTATTGCGAGATTGCAGTTTCTTGTAGAAGCTTTCAAGTTATATGTTTTTGGCGTATAGCATACTGAATGCTTGTATTACTGCAGGTGTTGAGGTAAAAAGTGGAGAGACTCTTAAGGTTAAGCCAGGTGATGGCATGGTTTTGCATCTTTCTCAGGTCTTGCAGTGCTACATCTACTTTTTCTGATTTTTCCCTGTCATAGCCTTTCTAGTATTTTTAAATTGACATTTTCTGGCAGGCTTGTCTAGGTGAGCTAAAAAAGGAGAAAGGGAATGAATCTGTATGCTTGTCTGTGGATGTTGATGGAAAAAAACTTGTCCTTGGAACTTTGTTTTCTGAAAAGCTACCCCAGCAACAGTTTGATCTAGTGTTTGACAGAGATTTTGAGCTATCTCACAACTGGAAAGCTGGATGCGTCTACTTCTATGGATACAAGGCTTCTAATGCTCCAGAAGAATATCCTTCGAAAATTTCAATTGTTATGATACCCTGTCCGTTAAATTATGCACAATAAATTTATTATTTGAGAGATCCTTGACTCAATGTTTTATTGATGCCACGGAGATGCCAGTAGGAGATTCTGGTATTTTTTTTTTTTAATTTTTCCTTTTCACCCCCTTCACCATTTCATTTATACATCCATCTTCCTATAATGTATATAAATATTTTCTATTTTCAGATTCATCAGATTCAGAGGAGGAAGATATACCATTAACTGTTGCAAGTAATGGTATCTAGTTGTAACTTATAGTTAATATTAGATAAATTAGTATGCTGGTCTATGTATGATTTTGAAGTGATTTGAATATTCACAGGAAAGCCTGAGCCTAAGGCGAAGCCAGATACATCTGCAGATGCACAAAAGGCCAAGGCTGCCAAGGATTCTGATACTGGTAAGCAGAAGGTTAAGATTGTAGAGCCAAAGAAAGATGAGAAACCTGAAGAGGATGATAGCAGTGATGATGACTCAATGTCTGAGGACGATGACGACGATGATGACTCTGAGGTAATTACCTGTTTCAGAATTACCTTTTTTGTTTGTTTATTCTGAATAACCTTGTATGAATTTCAATTTATACACGTCTCATTTGAAAGACCTGACATTGCATTTGTGATGATGATAAATCTTCACATTGCTGGTATATTTGTAAGTTACAGTTTTATCAGGTGATGCATCTAGTCACTTAACTGAATTTGCATTCATAGGTGTAATAGTCTTGTGTAATTTAGTTTGTACATCTAGACATTTATTTGGGGATGTCCATCTGCAATTTGTTGATGCTGTCTTGCTAAAATGTGGTGCTTATTTGCCAAAATTGAAGGATGAGGATGATTCTGAAGATGATACTAGCGAAGAAGAGACGCCTAAGAAGGTAATTTGCAATATCAGTCACTATTGTATGTGCAATGGTTTGTCTTATTCATTTCAATCTTTAACATTGGTTTTGGTCTCCTGAAGGATGTGGTGAGCAAGAAGCGAGCCCCAGAATCTGCCACCAAAACTCCTGTTCAGAGCAAAAAGGCGAAAGTTACTCCTCAAAAAACTGGTGATTATCTTGCATACGATGTTTCCTATTATGCAGCAATTATATGTCTAGCTGTATATCAGTATGATTATGTATGTTATATTGGTTTAGACGGCAAGAAAGCTGGTGGTCACGTGGATACACCTCACCCAGCAAAGCAGGCGGGGAAGAAGACTCCGGCTAATAAGCCAAATCAAGAGTCACCAAAATCTGGAGGACATTCCTGCAAGAGTTGCAACAAGTACATTTTCATACACTGGGAAGATTAATTAAATACACATACGATGGTACCTAAATAATTGATAACTTGGTTATGTGCTGCAGGACGTTTGGCTCCGAAAAAGGCCTGGAATCCCACACAAAAGCTAAGCATGGCAAGTAACTTATGGGGGGACCTTTTACAGACGATGCATAGCCCTTCAGATGGGTGAATGATTGCATTGGGGGATTAATCAAAGAGTGCTGTGAGGTTCTTTTGCATTTCTTGACAATTTTGGATTGATTGATTGAAAATTCCATAAGTTTTTTTTTTTTTTTTTGCTTTTTCTAGCTCATCTCTCCTTTAGATTAACATATATATATTTCCCCATTTAGATTTTGCTGGCTGTTGGTTTCTTTCGTGCTCTGTTAGGAGCCATCTTATCTTACAAAATATACTTTGTTTGCACATGTGAGGTTGCAATGTACTCGCACCGTACAGGGAACTTTACCAAGAAGAAACTGTAGATTTCAAATCAGCAGCGGGGTAATAACATCCTAGAAACAAATAATGCCCAAGTAATAACGCCTAATCTGGGCCACTTTCTAAAAATATTATTGAAAATATGATTTTTTTTGTCAAAATTATAAAAATATATTTTTTAAATAGTATATTTTTTTTTCTAAATATCATCAAATAAAATATAATATGCAAACAAAAAAAAAAAATTAATAACAATACTTTCGTACAGATCTACTTAGTAAACAAACTCCTTATCTATGTGAGAATAAAAGTAATAACAAATATAATGAAACATAGAATAAAGCTAATGCATCAAAGGCTAGTGAGTTCGGAGGCTGTATAAATATATAGCAAAGATAAGAATGCCAAAATACAAAATGCGATCAGTGTTCTCGCAGTTTAAGACCAGAGTGGTAAGGTTTAAGGTCAAAACATAACTCTCGCTTATTAAAGAAAAATAAAGGCTCGGAATCCACAAAACAAAGATCGGGTCTTCTAATAATTGGATATAAATTCTCAAGCTGCATTTGGAGCAGTGCAAAGTGCAAATTTAATAAGGCTCAACAGGTGCGCGGAAGCTTGCTCCTGCATATACTGCCTCGGAACCTAATTCCTCTTCAATCCTCAACAGCTGCATCCAAAGAAAATTCAAGTTTCACTCGTAAGGTTCTTGTCGTCCGTCTGTTGTGTAATATCAGACACTAATAAATTCAGAATATGCTCTTACTTGGTTGTATTTTGCCAGACGTTCTGATCTGCAAGGAGCCCCTGTCTTGATTTGGCCCTGATAATAACGATGTTGTTAGATTTCAGTTAATACATAGTAATAGTTAATTATAGGTGTGATACCGATATATACAATAAACAGCTAATGAACAGTTACCGTGGCCAGTCCAACAGAGAGATCCGCAATGAAGGTGTCCTCTGTCTCTCCACTGTATCCAGATATTGTATTGATTGTTAAGACATGGAATAAATAGTTTTTGAAATTTGCCAAACTACTGTTTAAGTCCACATTTCATACCTTCTGTGGCTGGCCATCACTCCCCAACCAGCATGCTTCGACATTTTTACAGCTTCAATACTTTCAGTCACAGAACCAATCTGGTTAACCTGAAAGTCCAACAAAAAGGGCAAGAATCGTCTTTTGAGGCCCCAAAGAAATTTTAACTTGAATGAATACGCGCATTGTAATATACGGTAACAATGTATACCTTAAGAAGAAGTGCATTGCAAGTCTTCTCCTTGATTGCCTTCTCAACTCTCTGTCCACATTAAAAAAAATTAAAAATAATGAGAAACAAGAAAACCAACATTTACTCCAAAACAAGGCTATGAATAAGCATCGTAAGGTTTTCAATCATCAGAATCAATCACCTTGGGGTTAGTGACGAGGAGATCATCTCCCACTATCTGTACTTCAGCACCAATTTCTTTGGTGAGTTTTGCATAGGTCTCCCAGTCATCCTGATCAAATGGATCTTCAATAGACACAATTGGGTACTCAGAAACAAATGACTTGTAGAGATCCTTGAGTTGATCGCCGGATATCTTTTGGGACCCATCATTGCTCTGCAATGACAAAGCAATGGGTGAGAACTCAAGAACAAATGTAGCATTTACTGAACCCTCTTATATTTAAGGATATTCAAGACAGCATAGGAACTAGCCTCTTCCTTGAAGTTCAAATCATAAGTCTTGTCTGATGAATAAAATTCAGATGCAGCAACATCCATTCCAATAACAACCTACACGAATCCTTTCATCAGCACCATTCTAATAAATGTGATTCAATACACATACAACAGACACTACAAAACCTTACTTTTCCTGTATAACCAGCTTTCTCAATGGCTGTCTTAAGCAGCTCAAGACCTTCCTTGTTTTCCTGGAATAATAATTAGAAATGTCAGCATATAACATTGAGAAAAAAATAGAGATACGAAGCTATGAATACTGAATACTGCTTTACCTGAATGTTGGGTGCAAAGCCACCCTCATCACCAACATTTGTAGCATCTTGCCCATATTTCTTCTTAATAACAGACTGAAAACAACAAGATCCACACATTTCAATCATGCAAGCAGAATAAACGTTGCAACCTAAGCCATAACCATTCATAACTTCCATAAAAGCCAATGAAACTACAAAATTGATGTTGTCTCGCACTATATTTCACACTAAGGACAAAAATCTATCAGCCTTCTCATAAAGTGATGGAAATATTTGACTAGACTTGCCTTCAAATGATGATATACTTCCACACCCATCTTCATGGCCTCTTTGAATGAAGAAGCTCCAACAGGAAGAATCATGAATTCCTGGCACAAATAGTTTGTGTTAATAACAATATTAAGATAAATCGTCAAAGCATAAACTTATAGAGAGACATGCCTGCATAGCAAGTTTGTTTCCAGCATGTGATCCACCATTGATAACATTAAAAGCCGGAACAGGTAGCACTAGTTTCTTGTTGCCAGCTAGGTTAGCAATGTGCTGAAGGTAGAGAAAGCAACCATGTCAGTGATCAAAATGGCGAAACCCGATGGATTTAAAGAAATGCTTATAACAAACCTTGTACAATGGAATATTAAGGACAGCTGCCCCAGCTTTGCATACAGCAAGAGATACAGCAAGAATAGCATTTGCACCAAGCTGCAGAAACACAAATTGCACTTGTTTTAACATACCACCCAGAGGTAAGACAAAATTTACAGGGACTTATATATTGATTTACAAAGGCACCTTTTGCTTGCACCAACCCCACTCATTCTGGGTTCCGTCGAGTTGTTGAACCATGAAATTATCAATACCAGTTTGATCTGTTGGGTCCTGCATAAGGAATTTTTATATATTCAGCATTGCCATGGCGTATAAACACATCTACGCATTTGACAACCAAGAAAATCACTAAAAGAAACACAAACCTTCCCAACAAGGGCAGGGCCAATGATGGTGTTGACATTACTCACAGCCTACACAAATATACCAGAATCTTTAGATTATCAACCAAATTTACGTATCCTATTGACTACGAATAAATTATAATACAGATTCATCAGTAATCCAAATTTAAACACTGACCTTTGAGACACCCTTGCCAAGGTAGTCTGATCCTCCATCTCTTAGTTCAAGAGCCTCGTAAATTCCTAAAATAAGAACAGAAACAAAGAGGAATCACTAACCAGCAAACAGTGTCATTTTTTTTATTATTCAGAAATATAAATGGAAAAAAGAACATGCACTCAACATAGTTGTGAAGGCTTATTTCAATTTCAAACGATGAACAATAAAATCAAATCAAACACCTCAAATACCTTCCAAACTAAGATTACAGCATCAACAAAAATCAATACGGTTCAAAACCCTGATCTAAGAATTTTACAGAAAACAGTAAAAATGGATGAGCGAGTTGTTAATGGATCTTACCAGTGGATGCACCACTAGGGACAGCAGCCCTAGCAAAGACACCAGTAGATACATGCACATCAACCTGCAGTCAACCAATAATTACTACTCAAGGTATTACAGTGAATTTAAACAAAACCTCGAACTTGAAACCAACAAACAAAAATCTTCAACTTCGACAGGATCGATAAAGATGCGCATAAAGGGTGGAAATGAACCTCGACCGTAGGATTTCCACGACTGTCGAAGATCTGACGAGCTTTGACGGACTTGATAGTGGCCATTAGAGAGTGATTAGATCTGTGAATAAGGAACTTGGAAGAAGATGAAAGAAGTACAGGAGGAGTTGGACTCGCCCACCACTTTATATAATAAGAGCGTGGGTTTATCTTAGCCGTCGATTATTTTATTAGATTAACGTTAATTAATTGGGCAACAAGAAAACCAACCCTTGGAACATATTAAACGACCGTTAGCCGAAAGGTTCTCTAGAATATTCCAAATTTAGGGCTACAATTTTTGAAAATAGCATATGCCTCTCAAGTCATGTTATGCTAGGATTAATTCTAAATATAATCTGTTATATTATTTCTTATCTATTATTATCTACAACAATAGATAATTTTTGTTATTAATTAGAATCATAATTAATATAAACTAGCTCATAAAAATATTTATATATTTTTTAAATATACGTTATACTCCGTATTGTTTTTTGTTAAATTTATTATAGTTGAAATGTTTGAAGAAAGAAATGTAAGGTACTTATATCAACCATCGCTCTAAATAATCAATTATAATAGTCAAGTATTACAACCCAATATTAGAACGTGTTCATATATCTGGATTGTTTTATTAAAATCATTTTTGGCATTATTTAGATATACTTTTAAGTAGTTTTACCATTATAGTATTTTTTTATTTTTTTTACAAAGCTCTAATACTTATCCACTCCTCTTCTCACTATCTAAGACATAGTTTGATACAATGATCTCATGGTCACAGTCAGTATTTCATGTTTCATTTCACAAACATTTGTTTAAATAAAAATTCAAATAAAAATCTCAATTTCAAATACCAATCTCTAAGCAAAACCAAAATTTTATAAACAAACTATTGAATTTTATATAATAAATTTGAGTCAGACCTTGCTAATTTTACACAATAGACAACAATAGAAAATAAAAATGTAGGGCTAAGGCAGCAGAACAACAAATGATGAAGTCATAAGCCACATGAAGCATGAAGTCAACAATTTGGTGCGGAGAGCAAACGAGCATGGTGTTGTGTGTCATCCCACTAAGGTCAACCAAATAAATAGAAAAGGTTCACAAGTGTATTTGGACATTGCTTGTCACCTACCAAATAAGTTCATGCATTTCTTGTTATCTTCACAGATCAGACAGGGACAGCAACTTAGAACAATTCCCACTCCTTAAAATAGTAATAGTAACAGTAATGTTAAAAACAGTGGAACAAAATAAAAGATTCTGGAGCAAAAAGTAAAAACATAAGAACACATTATACAACTTACCTCTAATGAGCACACCATGATTCTTAGGTTGCAAAAATGATCAAAGTGGTGAGGCCATTGTAGCATATTGAAGCTGCCTTATGTGGCCGGAACAGCTGGAAGGTCATCATCGATTCCTTTAACATTGCTCATTTCAGAGCAAAGTGCATCAGCCTCCTCAAATCTCCCGGCGTCCCGAAGCCCAGATAGAAGCTCCTTGCAAATGGAGGCAAGAGGGTACAATCCCATTTTCTGCATTTCTTTGTACCAAACATAGGCCCCGTCGAAATCCTTCACCTTGCAATGCCCTTCAATTAAAGCGTTGAAAGTTGCATCATTGGGGGATACACCCATGGATATCATGTGGTCAAAAAGGGCCCTTGCTCCCTCAGTATGGCCCTCTTTTATGCGGCAAATAATCAAGCTATTGTATGTCATATTGTCGGGTGGGATCCCATGATTTTGCATCTCAGAGGCAAGCGAAACTGCCTTCTGAATGTCCCCACGCTGTCCATAGCAACTGATTAGCTCGTTGTATACAAGGCGATCGGGAGTCAGGTTTGATGCAGACATTTCGTCAACAAGTCTCTCTACAAGATCTAGTCGATCCTTTCTGCTGCATACTCTTATCAGGGGGTGATAGGTGTGCAAGGTTGCCTTGATGCCTGAGTTTTTCATCCTCTCATACAACTCCAAACATTTCTCCACATTACCGGCAACTGAGAATCCAGTGATTAAGGAATTGTATGTGATGATGTCCGGAGTTGCACTATTTGATCCACTAAAGGTGAATGCTTCGGCTTCTACAACTTTACCGGTTTTGCTGAGCCCATTTACAAGTTCATTGAGTGTCACCACAGACGAAGGGATACCACTTCTTAACATCTCCTCAAAAATTTTGAATGCATTTTCTGTGTTTCCTACTGCACAATGCCCACCTATGAGCATATTATATATCTGGGCATTCGGTGTAATGCTTTTGTTCAACATATCTTTGAGAATAGCTTCGGCTTCAAGAAGTCGCCCCTTCTTGCAGAAACTATTTATCAATGATCCGTAAGTGACTGCATTAGGCTTCAACCCATCATTCTGCATTTCCTCAAGAATCTTCAAGCACTCGGTAAGCTCACAATGACGGCCATAGCCACCTATTAAGATATTATAGGTCGCCACATCTGGACAGGTCCCCTTCACCTTCATCTTTCTTACCCACTCATTAGCATCATCCATACAACCCAAGTCACAGAATTTGCTGATAACTGTGTTATAAGTTATGCTGCTGGGCTTCACCCCTTCCTTCTCCATTTCTTCAACAAAGAGTGATACTTGGTCAATCATCCCCACTTTGCAATAACCATTCACCATCGTATTCAATATCACTTCTGTCAAAACAACCCCACGGGCCTTCAAATCCACCAACAACTCCTCTGCTCTATCCATTTTACCTTCCTTGCACAGTCCATTCAATAAAATGCTGTATGTATGCTCATTCATTACCACTCCTTTCTTCTTAGCATCTTCAAACAATGTCATGGCAGTGTCTACATCCCCACGCCTTGAATGGCCGTCAAAAAGAATACTGTACGAAAATGCATCAGGGACTAATCCGTTGTCACCCATCTCCTGCAAAACCTTGGTTGCCTCTTCCATTCTCCCCAATTTACAGAGTCCCCCCAGCAAGGTGTTGTAAGTCACGACATTAGGCTCCACATTGTCGTTCTTCATCTTATCTCTCAATTCAAATGCCCTTTGTAATTGTCCGGATTTACAATGCCCATCAATAAGACTATTGTAGGTAACTCTATTTGGGCCCACATTTCTCTTGAGCATTTCGTCGAACAGCTTGTTCGCATCATCTAATCTGCCTTCCTTACACAAACCACCAATCAAAACATTGTACACAAATCCACTCAGCCGCACCCCGAATTTCTTCATCTGATTCATTAACTCCAAACCTTTTCCCACATTTCTCAATTTCACTGCGGATTGTATTGCATACTCATAACTGGACTTATCGACCCGGAATCCAGCATCCGCAGGATCGGGAAAAACCTTCAAACACTTATCAAACTGACGCGAGCCCACCAGAGTCCCCAGAAACAGATTAAAAGACGACAGGGAAGGGAAATTACCATTACTTCTCATCAAACTGTACAATTCAGTAGCCTCCTTGACGCGCTTACACTCCGCGCAAACTGTCAAAAGCACATCTTCGAAAACTGGCTTAGTGTTGGGAGGGGGCGAAGATTGGGAGAAAACACTGTGGAGCTGGGAAACGGAGTGAAGAGGAATGAGCGCATGGAGGTGGCGTTTCGCCGTCTCGATTCGATTCTGCTGGATGAGGACTCTGATTTTCCTGAGATCTTCTGGAAGCTTGTTTTCAGTTATCCGCTCTGTGGCGGAGGAGCTGCAGAAAGATTTCGAGGGAACCAGACGGCTCCACCGTCTCGCCGCCATAGTTACTCCGTTCCGCAGCACTTGATTTTCCGGTGAGTGCGTGGAGAGTACTACTTTCTTTCTGGGGATGGGCATGGGCCTAGTATACGCCCAATTATTTTACATCCCAAATCAGTCCAACCCATTTCTATTAAATTTTAAAAAATTTAAAAAAAAATAAAAAATGAATGAATATTAGAAATTAATTAGATTAATGTAATTACAAATGTATAATGCTTTCAATGTATACATATATATATATATATATATATATACCTGCAAATAATAAATGCAGTAGTTTGTTGTACAGGGTGTAGTGTTTGTAAACTCGTATTAAAGACGCAAACCACTTGCCGGCCTTATTGACCGCTCTCTTTATTATCGTTATTATTCATTTTCCTATTGAGAATCAATATTGCAAATATAAATAAAAAATTATTCAACCCCCTCTATTTATTAAATTCCTCAATTTCAACAATTATTTTTATTTCAATTCAATTCAAGTCCTTTTCTCATATCAGAAAATCATAAGTGCTATTAATATACGGGTAGATGGAGCGATGTGACAAATCTATCATAGCAAAAAATGCAAAAGTAACAAAAAGTTAAATAAAAGATGATTTGAATTGAACTCAAATGGTGAGCAAGAAGAACTCACTCACTCACTCTCTTATGCTTAAACCTTTAAAGAATAACGACATTCTTTCTACATGTAAAAATACAAGTATACAAAATCAAGCCAAAAAAAAAAGCAGCAAATCAAAAAGCTTGCATACATTCACAGAAAGAAATGGATGATGAAGAGCATTGATCGATCATTCCAGCAATGCTTGATAGTTAAAGCTAAGAAGGGACAAAGGTTCCGACGTAACCGAATCCGATGACGAAAAATGCCGTGGCCTGAATGAACAAGTAGACGAAAAAGTAGTTGTTCCCGAAGGCAATGTCGTAGCAGCCGCAGAAGAAGAGGAAGCACCCGGTGGCGAGCTCGAGCAGATGAACTCTGTTAGGCCATATAATTTTCAGATTATGTAATTTTCAGATTATCGAACTCAGATTGGTAAATTTGCTACCTTTCTCCAATTCTGAAACGTGGCCTTCTGAAAGCTTTGAGAGCTGATTTCAACTTGAGGGCGTCGCCGAGTTTCTCTGTGACGATCCATTCGTTGACTCTGCCTGCCTCGAGCAAGCCGATGAATGTGGCTTTTGTCCGGTGGAGCGACATCACATTTTCGAAGAGGATCCAGAACACGAGTAAATGGAGTGACCTGAAATGATACATGCAGACTCTAAGTCGAGCTCACTTTGATTTATGCAGATCATGATCATGATCCAACCTCGGAGTTCCGACAGCATTGAGCAATGTAATGATGGAAGGGATGTAAACTGCTCCCCATTTGGGGATAGCAACTTCAGGGACTAATACGGAGGCAGGCAGCACGACGCAGTAGAATATGAATGTCACGATGTGGGCGATGATCTTCCTCACGAAGAAGAAGCTGTAGATGACGTGGACCTTCTTCCACAGTGACACTTTCTGGAAAACACCATTGTCAGTTTTAAATTGCATCAAATGGGAGGGAAAACGAAATTGAAAATCGAACTAACCTTGTTTCTTACAATCTCTCCAAACATTTTTCTGAATAGGTTAGCAGGGCCGCACGACCATCGGTGCTGTTGGTAGCGATAAGCCTTGAGCGTGCTCGGCAATTCGTTCTTAACCTGTACGGAAAGAACACACAGTTATAAAATGTCTGAAAATGACGACAGGAAAGAAGAGACATGTAATAGAAAAAAATGTAAGTACCCTGACGGAGCCAAGATACAAGAATTTCCATCCTTTAAGCGTGGCGCGAACAGCCAAGTCCATATCCTCGACTGTGGTCCGATCCTTCCATCCTCCAGCCTCTTCAATGGCAGAAATTCTCCAGATGCCAGCAGTCCCTTGAATTGATTATTATTATTATTAAGTGTTTTTATTACAGGAATTAACATTGTGAATTGATGGTGTTGATGGATTGGTACCATTGAAGCCAAAGAAGGCGTAAGTGGAAGAGCCTACTTCCTGCTCCACGGTGAAGTGATAGTCAAGTGACATTTCTTGCATTCTTGTCAGCAAGCATTCATCCGCATTCACTGACAAGGATACACAAACACACACTTTCATGTAAGAATTCAGAATTAGTATATTTTATTGTTATTTGGACAGTCACAGAGTAGTGACAACTAAACTCTGTTTCCATTATTAGGTCGAGTCCATTTTATTTCCCCCATAGAAAAATTATTGCAAAATAGGTGCCAGCCACAGATATAAATGAGGCATTGTCGGTCGGGTCACTATAGAAGGGGAGAAGAGGTCCACCACTTCAGACAGCCCATAGCCACAGCAGCACATGGAATTGCTGGGTATGGAAAGTTAGGCCTGTGAAAGGACGAAAACACCCTCCTTATTGCATGCAACATATCCTATCCTATCCTATGTATCTTCTACCACACTTCCAGTTTGTGCCACCTGCAGCTTTTTTATTTACCTCCATGGAAAAGACCACAACGATAATGAAGTCCATCCACCAGTCATGAAGTGCTCATGAAGAAAACCAAAACGAAAACCCCTTTTACTAATTTGCTACTTTCTTTTTTACTTACAATAGACAAGCCAGCTTTTTTTTCTTACACCACAGAAAATGAATCCTAGAAAAATATATCGCCACTTTTTTTCTGTGATGTAATGGTCAAACACAGTGATTGAGCACTGAGCAGCCAGCCTTCTTTCAAAGCCTTCAGACTTTGATTAATGATTTTGATTAAATAAGATAATATGACAAACTCCCAAATCCACACCTACACCTACCTACCTGTCTGTCCAATTCGCAGTGGCTGCTGCTATTCGGAAGCCACTGGATTTTATTATTAGCACACTTTTATTTCTATCTTTTTCGTCAATTTTGGTCCGGTCTACTGTTTGTGGTCTCACCGACAGTTTCTGATCCGGACAATTAACATTCTGATTATGACGTTAATAAAAGTTTGTATTATTGCAAGCTATAATTAGATGAAAAGGAGGGGAAGGAAGGAGGGCAATAAATACTACTATATGTATATTTATATAATATAGTAATAATTAGCAGTGCAATTAATAATATTATTAGCTACTGAAAGGGTGCTGGAAGCAATGCATTAATTAATTAATTAATAATGATGATTGATACGTACCGAATTTCCAACGTGCCTGGACGAGGGCGAGCTGAGGATTGTGGACTAGGAAGGGAATTGTCCGCCAGAGGAAATCGGGTTCGGGCTGGAAATCGGCATCCAAAATGGCGACATATTCGCATTGTTTGACGTATGAGTGCTTTAGGCCTTCTTTCAAGGCTCCTGCTTTGTAGCCATTCCTGTTGTCCCTGATTTCGTATTTGATATTTATTCCCTTACTTGCCCATCTCTGGCACTCCATCTCCACCAGATTCTGTCCATGTCAAGACACCACACAATTAAATTAAATTAATTAATTGATTTATTGGTTGTTTCCATGGTAGCTAGCTGCGGCATGCAAAACTGGAGAGATTCAAAGAATGGATAACATACCTTGATGATAGGGTCGGTTGAATCATCGAGGACTTGAACGATGATCCTGTCGGAGGGCCAAGAAAGGCCACATGCAGCTCCAATGGAGAGCTGATAAACCTGTGTGTGTGTTGGTACAGTTCAAAATCAAGAAACAAATGTTCAGACAAGAATATATATATATATGGACAGGGAGATAGCGATCATTAGAGCGGACCTCCTTTTCATTGTACATTGGAATTTGGACAAGAACCATAGGATAGGCAGAATTGCCGAGCTCCAAGTCGTCCTTCAACGGCTCCCATTTGTAGCGTTTATGGGGCGTTTTACCAAACAGTTTGACGAGGCAAATGACGACCGCCATGTAAACCCTCTCGATGAACAGCATCACTGACATCACCAGGCACAAAAACACACCAACTTTCAGCAACGGGACGATCAACGGCTCCTTGATCTGCCCCCATATTACCAGAAATTGCTCTGTGAAATCATCCCTCGTCCCCGAAAACGTGTCGGGAAGATACGTCGACGACCCAAACTGACTCATTGACTTCTTCTTCTTCTTCTTCTAATCCTTACAAATATTAATGTTGTAAGGAAAAAAAAAAAAAAGAAAGACAGAGCCGAACAGGACAGGACAAGGCTTGCGGCAAAAATCAAGATCTATCAGGCGAGAATATATAGGATTTCCTTTACCCCCTTTGCGAAAAGTGCAAGAATATTTTCTTTAAATTTTGCTTCGTTGAAACGCAAAAGCAAATGAAAGCACGAGAGCTGGAATGTCAGAAAACACTTAGCTCGAACCTCCCCACACTATATATTCGTACCCGAAAACCCACTCCTCACCAGAAAAATCAAAAATGAAAATTATTACACAGAATGGGTCAGAAATTTCCCAATGCAGCTCCCCCTTAATAATAATAATCAAAGCAACCAACGGAAGCCAACCCCTTTAACCCTTCTTCTTCCTTTTTGTTTTTTTCAGACAGAAAACATGGGAGTTTTCTGCCGTTTTCATGTGAAGCCCAGAAATTCTTTGCCAGAAACTTTAAATGCAGAATGTGGGACAAGCCATATATGATGAAAAAAAAAAAAAAAACAAAAGAAAGAAAGGTGGAACAAAGGAAGTGTAGATAGAGAAAGAGGGGGAAAGATTGATTGGAGGAGTGGTGCGAGGGGATGAGAGAGATGTAAGAATCTCCCTTTATAGAAGCCTCCATTTTCTCGGCTTCATCCTTAATGATGTAAGATTAATTGATTTTCTAATGAATTTTATTTTTCACCCCAGATTTTGTGGATGAGCCGTGTGGTTATGCGCAACCGCGAAAACCACCCCCCAACGGCTGAGATTCCGACCGTATTCCGGCGACCATTACAGCCTTGACTACGTACTTAATTAAGGTTGCCTGTGTAGTGTGGATATACACAATACCGCTAATTTTGTAATTATTGTAAATGTGGTTAATTAAAAGAGAGAACGGCTCTGGCTCAGCCCCACAGCCACTTACGAAATTAGTAACGGTCGATTAACGTTAATATATTTTCAAAAAATATATTCAAGTGAATTTATGTCTGTGACAGAACGGTGATGATTTGACGGAAATGCCCTCGATTACTGCTGCAACTAATTTTTTAGCATTATTAAAAGTCGTTACAGTGAGATTTGATGTGTATGCCTACCTATTGAGTTAATAAATAATTAAATAAATAAATATGTATTTCTAAGTTGACATTTATATTAGAGTATATTAAACCAATAAAATCATTTAGGGTGTGGTTGGACGTGTTTCGAACAGTTAAATTAATTGAAAATATTATAGTGACAAATTAAAACTAAAAATGACAATTAATACACCCTTTTTAAGAATCATCATTAAGCGAGAGTAAAATATTAATAATGGTAAGATCACTGTCAAAGTGTGTGTATTCAGCTTTAATTTATTTAAACCCAATGGGTAAAAAAAAAATGACGAACAGAAATGCCTTTTGCACATAAATTTTATTTTCTTTTTTCTTTTTGTATATGGGGTGGGGGACAAAATTAGAAATGTCAAATAATTGTGAAAGCCAAAGGTAAACGCCAGAGAATTATTAGTAATGTTTGAATTAAAACAAAATCTAAGTACTGCTAAAAGTCAAAAACACACCAACAAATATATTTAGCTTTAATTTAAACATCTTCTTAAGTCAATAAATAATTCTTTTCAGACAATACTGTTGAGTTCAGACATATCTAATACTCCCTAATACTCCCTCCGCCCTCCGTCTCATATACCGTATCTGCTACACTGTAGATACAGCATTTTAGGAGGGATGTAATTATTAGATAATTAAAAATGTATTAGTAAAAATAATTATCCTATCATAGAAATAATTATAAATTAAAATTAAAACAACTAATTAGTTTAATTAAAATTAAAAAATTTAAAATGAGATTAAAGTGTGTAATCATTTTCCAAAAAAGAAAAATGACAAGGAACGTGGGACGAACAGAAACGGCAACGTCGACATGGTATGTGGAACAGATGGAGTATATGTAAGTACTCTCTCCGACCAAAATAAGGTACAATATTTGCTTTTTGCACAAATTTTTAGGTGAGTAATATTAAATAGAATAATTTAAAAATTATGTGATGCGATGGAGAGAGAAATATATATTTTATTTTTTTATTTGAACGATGTAAAGTGATAAAATATAAGATAAAAATCAAATATAATTAATTATTTTTTATTTTAAAAATATTATAAAATGTTTGAAACATATAAAAAAATATATATATTATAGAGTTTGGAAGGGAGTATTATTTTTGTGCGTGTGTTGGCAGATAGCTACTAAATAAATTAAACAGTCCTCCAATAATTGCAGAAGTTGGTGTTTACTGTTTAGAAGGCGTTGATTTTTACAAGTCCCGGGATCCACACTCCCGATAAATCCACACCGTCGATGACATGATATATAGCCGTGATGGGTTCCGGAGACCAGGCACCCCCCACAACACGTATGCAGAAATCATTAAAGTATGGTCTATGGAGTATATAAATTATAAATACTACTAACAGTAGCAGCGTCATTTTCTTAGTCAGTCTTCACAGGCACACATTACAATACTACAATTATGTAGACATACATATGTGTATATATATATATATAATTGAGACACAGTTGAAATGTTATATCAGTGATCAAATTCGTATATAATTATATTGTCACAAGAAAAAATATTTATCGATGATAAAAATAATAATAATAATAATTTAATTATGTAAGAATTGGAGTAGAATGGTATGTAATAATAATGTGGGGGTGAATGGGTTGTTGAGGACAGCGAAATGATGTTGTAGCTAACCTGTCTCCTCCTCCTTCTCAACTCTTATTTCTTCCTCGAAATTGAATGTTATGAATTAATTATGTCTTCATTGAATTAAATATTGTTTATATACATACATATATATATATTTATGTATATACATATATAGAGTTTTTCTATGTGTGTGTGTTGGGGCTGTCACATTAGTGTCGAGAAATATTTTAGTAATAATCGATGATCATCAACTCAAATCAATGAGTTGCTGGTTGCAAGACATATTAGGCCATCCTGCTATAAATGCCACCAATGAGACTTGACAATCGACGAAATTAAATTTCATAATTTTTGGTTGTAAATCTGATTTTTATTACAAGTTTCTATGTGAATATAAGTTAAAATTTATTTCCTTTAAATAACACTATAACCCTTTTAAAAAAAATAAAGTCATCCTTAATATACTTTAAATATACCAATAGATAAATTAGGTGAACTATAGACATAAATACAATTGTAAGTAAAATTAATATCTAAACTATTTCTTTCACATTTCTTTCCTTTTAATTTTCATATCGATCTTTGACTAAAAATGACACTAGAGAACATCCATTTTTATTATTGTAATATTAATTGATGATCATTCAAGAATGTTTTTATTTACTTGAGTTTACATGTATATTAACTATATAATGTAATATTTTTAGATAAAAATTAGATTTTAGATAGAATATTTTTTTGAAGAACTTTAGAAGATTAAATAATATAAACTTTAGGAGAAAAAAAAAAGGGTTCAATTTAGCAAACCCTAAATATAAGTAAATAAAGAAAGATGACCCATAGTATTAGCATATGATTGGGTTTCTAGAAAAAGAAACAGTAATGTTTTTGACATTTTTTATAATCTATATATTTTCGTGGTAGCAATCGAGTTGCTTTATGAAAAAGAAGTAATCAAAGTTTTATTGGTAGAGAGGTGTTACGTTTTAGCAAATAAAAATTACATCCTTGAGGGTCACAAATTAATGTGACAGCTTCACTACTTTTCCTATCTATACTATTTTTCAATTAAATTGGCATTTCATATTATTATTATTATTATTATTTATTATATTTTTTCCTAGTATACATTCATGTAATTCTATCGTGCAGATGCGAGAATAAAAATCAACGGTCCAGATCTATGCAGGAATTGGACGCTCTAAATCCGACCCTCCATCTGTATTATATGCATCAAAAAATAAATAAATGAAAATTCCATCACTTATAAAAACAATATTTAAATTAGAGGTCCACCATCCCTTTTAAATGAAATTATATATTCGATAAATATATAATATCTCACCAACTAGGTTTAATCAAAATCATTTAAGACATCCTAAATCAATCTTACCAGCAAATTGTGTGCTAAACAAATTAAGACAAACGAAGTTCGATTGATCATCATAGTATTTGTTGCGTGAAAAATATAAATTTGAACGTGCGAACCGCAGACATTCCTAAAACAAAACCATCCAATGAAATAATTTGGTCCTTAATTGTGAATCATTATTGTATCATCGTTTGTGTGCGCAATTTGGAATTATGGTTGGTTCATTAGTCGGTTTCGCAGACACAAAACTGCGTCGTTTAGTGTACGTTGTTGTGTTCGCAATTTTTCTAATTCATTTATTTATATAATAATTAATCTCCACTAAATCCCACTTGGTATTTAAACAACACCATCATTATGTGGAAAGTTGGCGATTTAATTTCTTCAACAAATTAAAGGCAATAATCAAATTTTATTTTAATACCCGCCGACACCTTTGTCACACTTCCACGTGGATAATTTTGTACGCGAGCGACCTAATATATATACATATAAATTTTCCAAGCTTTTGTCCTAATATCACTATCCTCAAAGATCATGGTAAGATTTTTCTCAATTTACTTTATAATATTTTTTTTTTTAAAAAAAAAAAAAACATGAGATCGGAGCACGGAAAAGGTCCATGTGGGCTGTGATTGTGAATGCAAGAAGAAAAGAACAAAGATTGCATGGAGTTAATGAATTGGGCATAACAATAATAGTAATAAATCTGAAATGGGCACTGTGGTTGCTAATTTTATTCTTGGCAATTGGAATAATGAAATGAAATGTTTGTGCTGGTAAGTTGTAAGTATGGGGGGAGTGGATTTAGGTCCCAAAGGGTGGAAGAATAAGCCGGGAAAAAGGGATATGGATGCTCCATGTGTCTGTCATTTCTCAGACACTCATACTGCTATTAATTTATGAATAATGTACGATACGTTATTACAATTTTAGCAAAAAAAAAATTAAATAAAAACAATACTTATTCCATTAACGAGAGCATCTAGGATGCCCAATTAGAAACTCAAGGCCCACCAAATGTGACGCCACATAGGAAGCCCAATTAAATTTAAGGCCCACCGGCTGTTTGAAAATAACAACAAAAAAAGCTTAAAAATGGAAATGCGAGGTATCGATCCCCGTACCTCTCCCATGCGGCATGGGATCATCGGTCCAAAATATATTCAATCTATTCGGTCGAATCTCTAAGGAAGTGACGCGTGTCCAGTAGGCAATAATTATTTTATTTTTTGTTTTAAGTTAAAATTTTAATATTATAAAAGAAATTGCAATTTAATCCCCTTCTTGTTTTCAATCTTTTCCATTTGTGAACCCAAATGCCCATTCTGCCCAGTTGTTTCCGCCGCTAACGCCACCGCCGATGCGTCTGCCCGCACAGCCGCTCCGCTGCCAACGCCACCACCGACCCAACCCCTCGAGCCTCCAACGCCACCGCAAACCGACACCGCCCGTCCCACCCCCTCCACTCCCGACGCCACCGACTATTCGGAGACTCATCCATTTTTTGAGGAGCTTATGTTTTTTCTTTTGAGGCTTTTAGTGGAAGTGCGAAAAGTAAGATTAAAAATTGAAATTTGAATTTTTGTTAATGTATTTCTGTTAATGTATTGATTGCAAATTTTGAGAATGAAAAAGTTTAGTAGAAAAAAAATATGAAAAATTGAGTTATTCTAATTTTTAGAAGTTTAATTGTTAGAAATTCGTTCCACCAGAAAATCATCTTCTCAAAATCGTTTTAGTCGTATGTTGACTAACTGAAACAAAGATATGTATGTCGATCAATTCAAAGAAGGATCCTCTGTCGCTATTGATTTTATCACTCTGAAAATGCTAAGTTGAATTCAAACTGCTTGTTTGTAATTTCTGCAAATTTATGTAGCTGGAGCGGTCATTTGATTGGACATATATGATCAGAGAACTAATCCTGGACAAGAAAAGAGGCAACATTTGAAGATTTGTGTTGTTTCGTTGGTCCATTGTGTTCACTTTTATTACAAAAAATCCCCCATATTGATTTGTTACTTTCTTTGTTCGGCTCCGTACATAATATCGCCAAAAAAACAAACATAAATCCACTTGTATATAATTTTGCATACTTCTTGAAATATATACAAAACAATAAAACCTTTAAGATCGTAAAGTTTTTCACACATCTAATTATTAAAAAACTCAATTTCACATCAACATAAACATACATAAAAAGAAAAAAATTGGTAGAAAAAAAAGACCGCATTCAATCAAACTTCCAAAATTTACAACTAACATTATTACAAAAATACATCAATAAAAATTCAAAATTTACTTCCACTAAAAGCCTCAGAAGAAACAAATATAAATCTCTCAATAAAGTTGTAGATCTCCGAATAGCCGGAGGTGCCGGGGTGGAAGGGGCAGGATCAGGCAGTAGCGCCGACAGCGGGAGCGGCTGGGCGGGCAGGGTCTCCGAATAGCCGGAGGCGCGGGGTGGAAGAGGCAGGATCAGACAGTGGCGCCGGCGGCTGGGCGGGCAGACGCATTGGCGGTGGCGTCAGCGGGCAGAACGTCGCACTCAAGTGGGGGAGGGGATTTAGGTTTAGGAGGAGAGAAAAAATCTAAATTCGAGGGGGGTTAAATTACAATTTGTGTTAAATAAAATTTTGATTCAAAACAAATAACAATAATAATAAACACTGGACATGCGTCGCTCGACTGAGTAGACCGGGTACATATTCGACTGAGGATCCCGTGCCCTCGCGGGCTAAGCAAACGCTCCCGTGCGTTTCTAATGGGAAGCGAGCACTCTACCATCTGAGTAACATTCCCATTTGTTAATTGTTTAAATTATTTAAAAAATATTTTTAAAACGTTACATTTAATTAAGTTTGAGGTGGGGGTCAACCTCGACACGCGCCACCCCTTCCGCCGCGGTCTTGGCAACCTCCACCTCACCGGCGACCAAGTCTCTATCTTTGTCGTCGTCGTCGTCGACGTAGTTGGGGTCCTTGTCATCGAGGGCAGGCTCGGCTTCCAGCTGGGCCTGGTAGTCCTCGTCCGGTCCCATCCAGGTGAACTTGCCGCCGCGGCCCTTCTTGTGGTCGTGCTTGAGCGGGAGGCCGTCGGCGGGGTGGCGCTCCATCCTGCCCACGCCCTTGTCCACCAGTTTCCTCTCCACGTACTTGACCGTGTCCACTTCCCGCGTCTTCACCTCCACCTTCTCCAGATGCTTCTCGCCGCCGCCGCCGCCGCCGCCGTCCGGAGGCGCTCGGCACTCCGTCCGGATCGTCACCTTGTCGTCCTCTGCAATTCCCTTCATTTCAAATCAAGTCACTTCTCGATTGAATGGCGGTGCTTCATTCACTTCACCTATCTTTATTTATATACGGGAGGAAGGTGCTGGAAAATCCACGTGTGCGTATGTGCTTAAAACCCAGAATGTTCCAGACAATGACAATGAAGGGATTCATTCGAACAGGCGCCGACATGGGAATGGATATGAATACCGTGGCGTGATGTTTCTAGCAGGTGGTGGATGTATCGGTAGTTTATGTAACGGATAAGGTTTGAAGACACACGAAAATTGGGCCTGGCTTTCGAATGTAATTTGGTAAATCTCCAGATGGGTCAGATTCAGTGGATTAATCCACACCGAATCGGACCCATATTTAGGCCCAATAAATTGGGCTAACATTGAGGCCCGTCTATAATGTCCCATATCGGAAGTAAAGTCGAGATATTGCGTGTATTTATATCCAATTATTGTAGCAGAGGGTACGACCTTACTTGAACAGGATCTGTTCTATAGGCTCGTACCTCTGCATCCTTGAGTTCTAAGGAGGCAAGAACCAAGTCTGGTGGATGAGCCTGGCTGCTTGACCAGAGCGTGATTACCAGCCTACCTGGTTCGGAACCGAACCATGGTGAGCCGCAGAGGATCGTTCTCGGCTGGCTTATGGCCCTCCGGGTGGTCCTGCAGCTGTCTGACAGACTAAATCTTTTCGTCTGTCTTTTTTTCTTTTATTTTTAGGGTTTATGTTTTTTCGAGAAAAAATCTAAAAATTGCATAACTCAGTCAACGATCAGAAAAACAAACAGGTGCTTATAGATCAGCGTCTTCTTGCTTGAGCTGTTATTATTAGCATTCGTTGGCGGCGGCGGTGGTGGTGCTGTAGCCGGTATTGTTGGTGGTGGTGGTGGTGCTACTGTAGCCCAGTGCTGCTGCAGTTCCTGCTGCTTTAGCCGTTGTTCTTGCACGTGCTCTGGCTCGTGGCCGCCGCCGTGGCAATGCTTCTGTTGTACAAGGTGTGCTTGGTTCTTGCTGGTTGTTTCTTTCAAAGCTTCCCACCAGGATCTGGAGAAGAAGTTTTAGTAAAAAAAAATGTGTAAATTCATGAGACCTAAACTAAACACACAAACAAATTGAACTTATAATTTGTTGCTATAATGTAAAAAATCACCCGAACGGGACTAGCAGCCATAAAAACACCGGCTACGGTGCCGCCAATGACAGTGCCATCAGGCCTGGCTAATAAAACGGCTAATCTTCCAGCCCAACATTTGATCCCTTGTCTCTCAGAAAGGGTGTAAGTTCCTGATAGACCCACAATCTCAAAACTGCCCTGTACCAATCGAATTGACAATTTTGTCTACTTAATAAAAAAAACAATTTTGAACAACACATGAAAACTTTCAGGCCAAGAACGAGAAATCGTACCTGAAACGTCATTACATTGCCATAAACTCCGGTGACCGGAAGCGTCACGCCGGAGACAGTTCCACTGCCGGAAAAAACGGAAACCTGATAGCTGCCAATCTGAGCAAATGCAAGAATCCTTGCAACAACGTCCTACATATATATATATATATATATATATAGATATCGACGAATCACAAATTAAATCCTTGTCCGAAATTATAAATAATAAAATAAAATAATGCATCCTCCAATCCTACTCCTACCTCTCCTGGATTCACAATGACTACTCGCGCTTTCATGTCTCCTACCCATATGCTTTCCTGCAATGCGCCTGAATCTACAATGGACAAATCTGTCAAAAAAATAAAAAATTATTAATCAATCGATCAGATGTATTCCAGATCAATAAGATGGCATGAGGGAGTGAAATCGACTTATAAAAAAACTCGCCCGAATCAGGAGTCTTCCGTTTGTCGGTTCCCCGCGGTCTCCCTCGCCGTTTATTTGAACCGGACGGATTTTCGATCGGCTGTGGCAGCGGCGGTAACGGTAACGGTAACGGAGCAAAGCCGGGCGGGACGTCCAGGGAGGAATATTCTAGAGACATCGCCGGCGTTCTTTTGCTGTTTTTTTGCAGTGCTGTTTTCTCTTTCGTCATCATTGAATCACCAGTTCCCCCGGCGCCGCCGGTTTGAGCTATTTTCTCACCCGCTGCGATGGCGGTTAATTCTGCAAAATTTCCGACAGTAACGTTAGCAGACGCAGTTCTATTATGCGAAAATCCGACCGCCATAACTACCTGCTGAATGACCAGATAGTGTTGTTTCCTCGATCTTCATCTTAATTATTCCTTGAGAATCTGTAAATGTGAAAACGTAATGAATAGCGCCTGGAGTTTGAAGGGATTAAAATGAGGTGAAAAGATGAGTTGGATTGCCTGCATATTGTTTTCTGAGCTGTACCCTTTGGATGGATTGAGACTCCATTTTCAGGCAAGAAATTAAGAGACATGTTTGAGGTCCTGGCCTCTTGCGAATCCCAGTAGAAACACATTACGGTCCGTCGATGTGTAGCGGCTACCTTGATGTACGGTGAAGATCGTACGATGTGTACATTCTGGTTTTGAAATCCAGGACTTGTTTCAACCAGAGAGGGAGCACCAAGGACTTACCTATTTATGTAAAATCATTGATGTGTTTGTTGGAGATTTTCTAAAAATTTTAAACAAAATTTTCTTTTTTAAAAATATTATTTTGTTGTGATTTCAAACTCAAATTATTCTATTCAATTTGTAATGTTTTTGATAAAAAAAATTATGGAGTATATATATATATTACAAAATACTATTATTTTTAAATATTTTCTAAACAAAAATTCAAATAAACAGTTTATTTCAAAATAATCTCAAACTATAATATTAAATATTAATTTTATATTCAAAGTATTATAAATATTTATAATATTTAAATTTTAAATTCTACTGTTAAAAATAGGAAATTAAGTAGAAAAGGATATATTATAAAAAGGGATACTGTTTTAGGTTGCAATTTATTTTGATAGATTATGTGATGAAAAAAATTAATTTAAATTTGTCTGAATTAGCTTATTATTAAATAAAAATTTCTCTTATATATAATACTTAGAATGGAGGAGATCGGGTGTGCTAAACCTCATTAAAATTAATTAATATAATTATATAAAATAAAATAAAATAATTAATTTCTAAGCCTTCAGTAATGATGATTCAACTTCTATTTGGAATACATTTGGAAGAGAAGGTAATATCTTCTATATAGTATAGATATTTGGAAAAATATATTATTTATATGCATATTTATAAATAAGTATAGATGGTAAGGGAAATGGTAACTGCATTAGTTGTTTCTAATAAATACCAATGACAGCAAAAAGGTTAAATAGGAAATAATTTGTATGTACATTTATATATTTTTTATTTTTAAATAATTAATTTATATTAATTATATATTTTGTAAATAGATTTTTATTATTTATAATTGGCCTTTATACATTAAATATGTTTTTATTATAATATAAAATATTAAAATGTTAAAAACACAGTTTAAATACATTTTATTTTTTTTATCTATATGTATTTTTATCAACTTTCAATAGAATTTTAAATTTACAACCAAATGCATCCTAAAATTAATTATTACTTATACTCCATCCAGTCCCCTCCAAATAGGTGTTTAGAGTTTTATAGTGAATTAAAAAATAATAGTATTTTATTGGTCAGTGAAAGTGCGTAAGAAGTTTTGATATTATAAAGTAATTATATATGTAATTGTATGTTTGTAATTTAAGTAAGAATTAAGGGTATTTTAGTATTAGTATATGATTACTTTTATTAAAATAGGAAGTTGATACTTTGGAGTAAGACAAATAAAAATATAAAAAAGGTAATTTGAGTCGGGACGAATCAAGTATTAAAATTGAAAGATTACAATATTACATAACAAAAACAAATAATAATAATAATAATAACCAATTGAACAAATGTTTTGTGTATTAGTTTGACGGATTTTTCTTTTATTTATTTTTTTATAAAAAATTGTGTAAGTAATATAAAAATAATAAGTATGTATATTATATTAACTTTTTAGAGAAACATGTTAGAAATTTTTCAAAACAAACAAACCCCTCTCTTACTAATTATTGAGAGTGGAAAATTAATTTTGATTATAATATTTTTATTTAATATGTTAGCATATTATACATAGATTGCCAACATATTATATGTTTATGAACAACATATCATGTGAAATAGCATATTATATACATAGATTGCCAACATATTATACTTTTATTAACAACATATTATGTAATATTTTAAGCATAAAATGTATTATGGTGTGTTTGTTTTGTAAAATATTTCATTTGAAGGAATATTTTTTTTTTATATATTTTTGATAGAAAAGAAAACAAAAAAAACACATCTTTACTATTTTCATAATAAAAATAAATTTTTAAGTAAAATAAGTAAAAATAGATTATTTTATTATTTTTTTTTGTAATAGAAAAATAAAATGATGTTTTTTACTAAAAAAACAAATATACATTTTTTATGGCAAAAAAAAAAAAAAAAACAAAAGACATAAATTTGAATGATATATGAAATATCTTTTTATAAATAATATATCATGCAATGGGTTTAGTTAAAGTTTAAATTGAGCATAATACTTATCCTTAAAATTTAGTAATTCTAATTTATGTAATTATTTTCAAGACAGAAGCATGATGCTTAATCTAAAAAATTTAGCACCTAACTCATCCCATCATGCAACATTCTGTAGTAATTAGTATATTCTTTTTCATATTATATTATAACTAATAATTATCATAAGCATGTTTTAAAGAGATTATAATTAGTATATTCTTATTCATATAATATTATTTATCAAGTAAATTTTTATAAATAATATTTATTATTCTTATAAATGACAATTTTCTTATAAAAAATAAAACTATTGATTTCAATATCATGCTTATTAAAATAATTGGAGTTAAATATTAATTATTATTAATTATTTATGACCATCGAATATCCATCTAATTCGATTGAGCAAATATATTTAATTAACAAAATTATTTGTTGGAGCCACACAGCCACACACTCGTTCTACACAGTATTGCTTGAAAGTGAAATTAGTGGTACAGATACAAATAGCGTTTATTATAATATATTACACCTGTAATAAATTTCAATAAAAGTGGTAATGATAACAGCAGTAATAATTGAAGTAGTTCGATTTCTTCGAGGAATCATCAATTTCTGACGTTGAGGCGCTTCTGTGGGATGACGTAGAGCGGATTCTTCTTCCTCAGAGTGAGTCCCAGCCGCTCATCTCTGTCAATGTCCTCCGGCCGCACTCCGGCGCCGAGATCCCAGTCGAAGGCCTGGACCAGAGTAGCCAGGGTCAGGGGCACCACCCGGTGAGCCAACGGGAACCCAACGCAAATCCTCCGACCCGACCCGAACGGGATCAACTCGAAGTGCTGGCCCTTGTACTCCACGCCGGACTCCAGAAACCTCTCCGGCTTGAAGCTCAGCGGATCGGGCCAGGACTCCGGGTCCCGGCCTATGGCCCATGCGTTTACAAGCACCTGGGTCCCCCTCGGGATCCTGTACCCGAGGTAGGTCGTATCTTCCATGGTGTTCCTCGGGAGCAGCAGCGGCAGCGCCGGGTGCAGCCGAAGAGTCTCTTTCACGACGGCCTGAAGATACGGCATCTTTTCAATGTCTCTTTCTTCTACCCGTCTCCCCACGCCCACCACGCTGTCTAATTCTTCTCGAAGCTTCTGGAAAGCGCTAGGGTTCCGCAGAAGCTCCGTGAATCCCCACTCGATGGTTATGCTCGTCGTTTCCGATCCGGCGAAGAACATTTCCTGCACCGGCAAGAACTTGAATTCAGACCATATTAAACGGGGTTTGATTATAATTAATGTCTGAAATCAGACAGGCGTACGGTAATGATAATGTTGACGTTCTTCTCGGTGATCCTGTCGGGGCCGTCTTTCCCGTCGCCTTTATACTCCAACAGCACGTCGAGGAAGTCCTTCTTCTCCCGGACCTTACCGGCGTTTCTGTCGTCGTGCCTCTCCTTGATGAATCTATAAGCGATTTTCATCGTACGGCTGAGATTCTGCATCATTTTGCGCTTCATCCCGGCGGGATCCATCCACTTGAGATACGGCAAGTAGTCGGCGATGTTGGGTGTTCCCGACAGCTGCAGGACCTTATTCATGCAGTCGAAGAACTCCCGGGACTCTGGGTCCTTCACATCCAGCAAGTCCCGGGACAGCATCAGGTTCCCCATGAGGTTGAAGGCCATGAGAAAAAGGCAACGGCTGAGCTGCACGGCGCCCTCGCCGCCGGCGCCGAGTGACGCCGCCGACTCTTCCAGGATCCATCCCTCCATGTTTTCCCTGATCCGATGCCTCAGCTCCGTCGTCTCGTTCATCCGTTTGTTGACTAGGAACTCCATGGAGCAGATGCGCCGGAGCACCCGCCAGTGGCCGCCGAACTGGTTCATGCCCAGAGTTCCCTGGTTGAAGTCGTAGGCGGTCAGGACGTCCGGGACCTTCCTGTCGGCGAAGGGAAGGTCGTGTTTCTTGAAGAGCTCCGCCGCCGAAGCCGCATTCTGCACCACCATAGTGTCGACGGAGCCGAGCCTGAGCCATAAGACAGGGCCGTAGGTTTTCCGCCATTTGTGCATAGTTTCGTGAGGCAAATCGCCGAGCTGGAGAAGATTGCCGAAAATCGGGACTCCCTTTGGACCTGGAGGAGTTTTGCCTGGAGATTTCCTTAACCAGATAAAGAGGATCAGGAGAATACCTACGACGATTGAAACAGAGATAGGATTTATCGATGAGCTTAAAATCCACTCCTCCGCCATTGTCCTGCTTCTGTAGCTGCAACTGAATTTCGCTTTTCGTTTTCTTTCCGATGCAGCTATGGCTGAGAAATATATACATATATATACGTAATACATGGACCAGACATGTGAAATGTGCGTATTAAAATAATGATAAGAATGGTGCACGAGGCACACGATTGGTTACTGGAAGGAAGCTGCAGACAAAGAACGAATTGTGGGCGCGGGATAGGGACGGAGAAATTTACCGAACATACATAAATCCCGACTTATTGTACCGTATCGTGTCAAAAATATCAAAACTTTCGGTATATTGAAAATTTGAGTACGATATGAATATCGTACCGAAGTGTTCGGTACGGTATCAGTATGAATTTTCGAAAAATTTGGTATTTTAGTATGATACTGTACCGATATTATTTTTATTAAATATATTTATTATTAATATAAATAATAATTATTAATATTTTTTTAAAATCAAAACAAAAAAAATATGTAAACTATTGAATTTTTTTTAATTTTTACATAATATTTTTGTGGTGAATAGTGATATTTATTAATTTTTTTATTTATTTTGAAATTTAAAATTATATCTTCAGTATAATCGGTATATACCGGTATCTACCAAAATAAAAATTTTCGGTATAAGCAGTATATACCAGTATCGTACCGAAATTGAAATTTTCGGTATAAACGGTATATACCGGTACCGTACCGAAAATTTTGCTATACCGGTATACCGAAATATTCGGTACGGTATCAATATATATTTTCGTCATACCGGAAAGTTCGGTACGGTATCAGTATCGACCGGTATTTTTAATACGGTACGGTATACCATTCCAACGTGGGACAATGCCCTTCATTTCAACTGGCCCATGTTCGTTTGAACGATTCGGGGATTTGTACTATTTTATTTTAAAAAAATTCTCTAAAAGTATTAAATTAAATATTATTATTATTATTATTATTTATATTATATTAAAAATTAATTTTATATTTAAAATATTACATTAATGTTTATATTATATCATAGAATTATTCAAATTCAAATTTTTTGCTATTCAAATTTCAATGAAAAATTCAAATACCCAAACAACACACCTAAATAATTTTATTTTTCAAATACGCTAAGTATTTTTTGTAAAATATAGTCCATTAATTTTGGTAACTAATGAATTGGGCAAAATTGTTAAATTTTTGTAATTCGAGTGGTGAGAGATTGGTATAAAATTAATTTTTAAAAATAATAAATAAATATTTTAAAATGAGATATAAATGGAGAGGAATGGAGTATAAACCACGACATAAAATACATTCATTTTCTAATTAGTGACCTTGCTGCCTTAGTACCGCCGTTATTTAGTAAACACTGTTTACATAGATAAACATTAATTAATTTAGATTTAATTTTATAAAGTACATTAGGGTAGGAATGTCAAAGGAATAATCGAGTCTTAGGAATAACAAAGAGTGGATTCTTCTTGGTGAGCGTCAGCCCCATCTTCTCTTGTGTATCAATGTCCTCTGCTTTGACTCCTGGTCCTGGTCCTGGTCCTGGCCCCGGTCCCAAATCCCACTCGAAGGCCTGGACCAAACTCGCCAGAGCCAGGGGCACCACCCGTTGAGCCAGCGGGGAACCCACGCACATCCTCCGACCCGACCCGAATGGGATAAATTCGAAGTGCTGCCCCTCGTACTCCACGCCCGATTCCAAAAACCGCTCCGGGATGAAACTCAGCGGGTCCTCCCAGGAGTCCGGGTCCCGCCCGATTGCCCAGGCGTTCACCAGGACCTGGGTGCCCTTGGGGATTTGGTACCCCAGGTAGGTGGTGCTCTCCTTCGTCTTCCGGGGAATCAGCAATGGCAGCACCGGGTGCAGTCTCAGCATCTCCTTAACCACCGCTTGAAGATAAGGCAAATTCTCCGTGTCCTTCTCTTCCACCCGTCTCTTCAACCCGACGACCCGGTCTATTTCTTCCCGAAGCTTCTGAAACGTTCTAGGGTTCCGTTGAAGCTCCGTGAACCCCCATTCGATGCTCACGCTTGTCGTCTCTGCTCCGGCGAAAAACATTTCCTGAAAAGTCTCTCAATCAGTCGTGTCGGAATTCATTTATCATTCTCAGAGTGTTTTGAAGCTGAATAATTACGTATTACGTACCGTGATGAGAACGTTGATGTTGTGGTGGCTGATCCTGTCGTGCTCGTCTTTCCCATCGCCGCTGTAATCCAACAACACGTCGAGGAAATCCATGTTATCCCGAGCCTTCCCGGCCTGTCTGTCGTGGAGCCTTTCTTCGATGAACCTGGAAGTGATTCTCATGGTACGGTCCAAGCTGTCTTTCATCTTCCTTTTCATTCCAGTCGGATCCATTCGTTTCAGAAACGGAAAGTAATCTGCAATATTGGGAATTCCCGACAGTTCCAGGACGTTATTCATGCCCTGACAAAATTCCAGCGATTCAGGATCTCCGGCTTCCATCAAATCCCTGGAGAGCATCAAATTCCCCATGACGTTGAACGCCATAAGAAACAGGCAACGGCTTAGTTGCACGGCGCCACTCCCGGCGGCGGCCCTGGACGCCGCCGACTCCTCCAGGATCCACCGGAGCATGTTATCCCTAATCCGATGCCTCATCTCCACCGTCTCGTTCAGACGCCTGTTTACCCGGAACTCCATGGAGCAGATCCGCCTCAGCCGCCGCCAAGTGTCCCCAAACGGGTTCAGGCCGAGCGCTCCCTGGTTGAAGCAGTTGGCTGTCAGGACGTCCGGCACCGTCCTGTCGGCGAACACGACGTCGTGCTTCTTGAACAGCTCGGCGGCGGAAGCCGCATTCTGCACCACCAGAGCGTTGACTGTACCCAACCTCAGCCAGATTACAGGACCGTACGTTTTTCGCCATTGTTGCATAGCTTCGTGGGGCAGATCTCCCAGCTGGAGAAGATTCCCCAAAATGGGAACCCCTTTTGGCCCCGGAGGAGTGTTCCATTTCCCTGGAGACTTGTTGTGCTTCAGAAACAGCAGAAGAACAGTGAGAATGGAGATGATCGAACTGATCAGGACCATCTCCATTTCTGTAATGGATCGATATACTTACGGACATTAGAGATCATAGGCGCGTGTGTGTATAGTGCAGCTAGGCTACGTTAATATAGTAGGTAATTAAAAGGCCCGATTAGTAGGCTTAAGAAAATTGTGATAATGATGAATTTTATATGAATAGTACTAAGAGAAAAAATTCCATTAAACATTATTAAACAAATAAATATTTTGTCGAGGCACACGAGAATAATTAACAATTATATGTGTTACGCACGAAATTTAGAATTAGGTTAAAAGCCCAAGGTAAAACGAGGAATGGGCCTGGCAATAGGGTTGATTGAACTGGCTGAAGGACACCGTGAGGAAATCAAGGAAAATAAATTTATTTATTTATTTCTAAGGAAAATTCAGGACGGAAGGACCTCAGGTCGGTAGGTCCTCAGGACGGAAAGACCTCAGGACGGAAGGTTTTTAGGTCGGTAGGTCCTCAGGACGGAAGGTTCTCAGGTCGGTAGGTCCTCAGGACGGAAGGACTTCAAGTCGGAAGGTCTTCCGGTCGGGAGGTCCGCAAGACGGAGAGACCTCAAGTCGGACGGTCTTCAGGTCGGGAGATCCGCAAGACGGAAAGACCTCAAGTCGGAAGGTCTTCCGGTCGGGAGGTCCGCAAGACGGAGAGACCTCAAGTCGGAAGGTCTTCGGGTCGGGAGGTCCGCAAGACGGAAAGACCTCAAGTCGGAAGGTCTTCAGGTCGGGAGATCCGCAAGACGGAAAGACCTCAAGTCGGAAGGTCTTCCGGTCGGGAGGTCCGCAAGACGGAGAGACCTTAAGTCGGAGGGTCTTCAGGTCGGGAGGTCTTCGAGACGGAAAAGTTGTCGAGATAGGATATCCGCAGGTCGGGTAAACTGTAGGTCGGATAGAAGGCGGAGTCGGACAAACGCGGAGGCCTTTGATCAAAGACAGGGGGCGGTTGATATGGAGGTCGGCCCAAGTGGGGTCGGGCGAAGAAGTAGGTCGGACGAAGGACGAAGTCGGGCCAAAAGAGCGGAAGGTTTGTGGTCGGCTCAAGGAGCGAAATATAGGGAATTTTGGTCTGCTGGGGACACGTGTCAGCATGAGAAAGGTTGGAAGACGGTTGAGAAGGAGACGTTGTAACCGTTCGGGTGGCGGTTTTCAGTACGGTTTCCCAGGGAATATTTAAGGATTTGAATCATCGTTTGGCGAGGTATCTTCAATCAACTTCAACAAAGCAAAGTCAGATTTGGGGATCACCACTTTAAATTTCAGTATTTTATTTTCCAGTTTATTTTCTGTACCGTACAGTGTTTAGAGATTCCTAATCTCAGGCACTAATTAATCAAGTTTAAGGATATTTTCTATATCTTTGAATTTTACTTTATTTTTGTTGAAAAATTACATCAACAAATTGGCGACCACAGTGGGAGCAAGACAAAATTGCTCATTCCAATTCCGGCGATAATTTCATACGTCTTAGATCCGGCCGAATCATCGGAAGGGTCCATATGGCAGGGTCACAACCGCAAGCATCTTCGACACCGGTGGGAGAATTCGTTCCACCACCCATTGTGCCAAATGCCGGGGAAATCCCACAACCACCAACTGATTGGTGGTCTTATGTTCAACAAATGAACAACCAGCATACCTTGGTTATGCAGAATATGTTGCGTGAGCAACAAACGAACATGTTGCGTGAGCAACAGAGTCAGTTGCAGAACATGATAGATCAAGCATTGTCAAGGGTTAGTCTTCAACCCACTCAAACGCCACCAGGAGTGTCACCGTCCAGACCACAGGCAAATTTCGCAGGGCCATCCTTCGTGGATAGTACATTCCCAAGTGCCACAAATCCCAACCGAATGGATCGGGGAAAAACTCCTTTGACTTTTCCCAACAATGTTCCACTGGGACCAAGGGTTACCAGTTCGCAGCCGAACAATACAAGGGAGGACAGGCCTGAAGGATATATACATGATCCGATCCATATTCCTGTGCAGGATCCGTTCCAGGTTCCTGATCATCAACGCTTTCATGTAGATCCTGATGAGATTGCACATATATTAAGGGATCAGTATGGATTAACTCCTCAGATGGCTAACCGCCCTGCATATCAAAGACCTTTCCCAGAAAGGATCATTCATGAACACCCTCTCCCAAGGAATTTTCGACCACCCGACTTTCATGCATTCTCAGGGGAGGACGGATCTTCCACCATAGAACATGTTGGTCGGTTCACAGCACAATTAGGAGAGGTTGGCAATAACCCTTTTTATAAGTTACAGCTGTTTGGTTTGTCTCTTACCAGAACGGCGTTTTCATGGTTTGTAAGTCTACCTCCTGGACAAATTCAGACATGGGAAGGATTGGAGATGGCATTTCACGCGAGATTCTTTAATCCTTTACCAGTTGTTTCTTTAACTGATTTACTTGAATTGAGACAGTATCCAGAAGAAACTGCTTCACAGTTTATAGAAAGGGTGCGATTGATGAAGGGACGATGTCCTACGGTAATCAGTGAGAAAGAGATGACCAATTTAGTGGTCCGGAATATGCATAATCGTTTAAGAAAGGCACTCACTGCCCTGGATGTTGAGGATTTGGCAAATCTTGCATCCAAGGCAGGACGTCTAGAGTCTTTGTTCAGAGAGGAAGATCAGCATAACAGGCGTAATAGAGGCCAACATATGGCGAGTATGGGAACAGAAACATGCGACTTTGATTTTAATCAGTCAGAAGAGATGGCAGCCGAAATCCTTTCTGGAAAACCGTATGTATGTCCTAAATTGAAGCCAGTACCAGGATCTGAAGGAAAGGAGCAACCGACTTTTGATAGTTCGAAAGCTGATGAAATCTTTGATATCCTACTGACTGATGGGCAGATCCGTATTCCAAAGGGCCAAAGACTTGCCACTAAAGAAGAAATCAAAGGGAGACCATATTGTAAGTGGCATAATTCTTTCACACACACTACAAGTCAGTGTACTCATTTTAGGAAGGAAATTCAAAAAGCCATCAAGACAGGTCGGCTCAAATACATCACTTTAGGTGTAGACCAGCAACCATTTCCGAAAGTAACAACTGCAATGGTTGACATCCAACCAAGTGCGGAAACAAGGAAAAGTTCGGTCAATAATGGACAAACAAGGGAGCAAACTCAGGCAAGTCCCGGAAAAAAGAAAGGGAATCAGCCAAATAGCAGCCGACCGGAAGAACGACTCAAGGTTGTTGAAAGGCCAGTCGCTGAAAAATGGGACCGTCCAGACGGTTCTTTTAATGTGGAAGTGAAGGAAAAAGTTTTAGTGAGAGACCACCCAACCAGAAAAACGGGTTCAGTCGGGAACGATTGGGCTCGAAATAAAAAGCCTTTACCCGTTGATATAGATCCTCGTTTCCCAGGTATGAATCGTACACAGATTCGCAATGCCAAACGCAGGTATGCTGCAAAGTATGGGAAACGAGTTCCTGCAGTGCAACAAAGAACCGACGAACAAAATGCGGCCGACCACTTGACAGGAGATCAGTCCATTAGAGTCTTTACAGAACAAACGACCGACGAGCAGGGAGCGGCCATTCAGTCTCCAATAAGTCGGTCCAGTCGGGTCTGGTCAGGAAAGCAACCGAAGGACGGATTAGGAACTTCCGACTATACCAAAAGAAGTTCGTCGGGACAGGGGAAAGGTAAAGGAATGGCAGATGAAATAATTAAAGGTTTTAGATGCCAACATTGTGAACGGATCAACATCAATCCATCTCTGGAAGAATTTCGTATTGAATCCTTGACGGTTCAATCTCGAAATGAGACGAAGGAAGAAGTGGTGCCTACAGAGGAAAATTCAAGATCTGTTAAATCTCGTCTGGGACCACGAATCCCTTGTCGAATGACAGAGGTTAACCAGATGAGTGATGAACCGACGTGGGCGAGTCTGGTAGATGATACTATGGACGAACCTTTATGGGCATTCTTGGCAGATGGCGAATTAGAGGAAACAGAGTGGGCAAAAATTACAGATTCTGAGCCTCAGTCGGAAGCACCTTCAATTGTGTTTCCTCCTATTCCAGAGGGTGCGAACTCCCATTTGAAACCCCTGTATGTTAATGCTCACATTTGTGGGAAACCAATCACAAAGGTTTTCGTGGATAATGGAGCAGTCTTTAATGTTATGCCATTGAAGACTCTCAAGAAGCTAGGGAAAGGAATTCATGATTTGTCCCCTGTGGAATTCGAAATGACAAGTTTTACAGGGCAGCCGACCAAGCCTGAAGGTATGATGGTTGCCACAATTGAGGTCGGACCAAAGAAAATTTCCACTGTTTTCTTTATTGTGGACGCAGATACTACATACTCTCTTTTGCTGGGACGAGATTGGATTCATGCCTCTCAATGTGTGCCATCAACCTTGCACCAACAGTTAATGTTCTGGGAAGGAAATCAGGTCTTTAAAATGGAAGCGAATGACAACCCATTCGATGTAACAGAACAAGTGGAAGAGTCAGTGTTTTATTCTAGTCACTTGGCTCCGATGTCTCAGTTGTATATGGCTAGGGAATACCCAAACAAGGGTTATAAAGTCACTGGCCAGAACTCGATGTTCTATTAAAAGAACACCTTTATTGTATGGCTCATGATAAAGCCACACCCATTTCTGTATAAGTTGTTTGTTATGGAAGATACAACTTTAGAAGTATGTAGTTCTCTTATTAATAAGTTCTATTTAAAACAGTTATTACATAAAGTAGAAAATAATAAAGAGATTCTGGATGTTCACCTCCAAGAAGATGAACAATTTCGTTGGCCCGACTTATTAGAAAAAACAGAACCAACAGCTTCATCACAAGACCCGTTATTGGAGTTTAATTTAGGAACCGAATTGGTTCCAAAAGTGATCAGGTTAAGTGGTTATTTGTCTAAAGAGCAACAAACAATTATGCTTGAAGTTATTAGAAACAACATTGATTGTTTAGCGTGGGATTATTCAGAGATGCCTGGTTTGACAAGAAGTCTAATAGAGCATCGACTGCCCATCAAA